ATCTAGCTATTATTGTTTGTTTAGCTGACTTCCATGCCACAACACCCCCACCGAGGGTGAACACATAACCACTAGTGGATTTTGTCTCATCTGAATCAGAGATCCAGTTAGCATCACTGTATCCTTCTAGTACAGCGGGAAATCCACTATATTTAATACCATAGTTCATGGTACCTCTCAAATATTTCATTACTCTTACTAATGCATTCCAATGATCGTGACTCGGGTTTTGAGTATATCTACTCAATCTACACACATCGTATGCAATATCAGGTCTAGTAAAATTCATCAAATGCATTAGACTGTCAATAATTTGAGCATATTTATTTTGATCTATAGCATCTCCCTTATTCTTTTTTAACTGACTACTAGCATCATAAGGAATACTTACAGGTACTACATCAAAATTATCAAAATTTTTAAGAATTCTTTCAACATAATGTTCTTGAGTCAACATCAAACTACTGCCATCTCTTATAATTTTCATGCCTAAAATAACACTAGCTTCTCCCATGTCTTTCATCTCAAAATTAGAAGACAAGAAAAATTTGGTTTTATGTACCAAATCAAGGCTAGAACTAAAAATAAGCATGTCATCCACATAAAGGCAAATAATAACACATGTACCATCTACACATTTTGTATAAACACATTTATCTACTTCAATTGATGAAAAACCATCATTAAACAACACTCGATCAAATTTTTCATGCCACTGTTTAGGTGCTTGCTTTAGACCATACAAAGATTTTAGCAATTTACATACTTTGTTTTCTTGGCCAGACACTATACAACCCTCGGGTTGCTCCATGTAAATTTTTTCTTCCAAATCACCATTTAAAAAAGCAGTTTTAACATCCATTTGGTGAATAAAAAATTTATAAATAGAAGCCAAGGCAAGTAAAACACGAATCGAGGAAATTCTAGTTACAGGAGCATAAGTATCAAAATAATCAATATTTTGCTTTTGGGTAAAACCTTTTGCAACAAGTCTAGCTTTGTATTTATCAATCGAACCATCCGGATTGAGTTTATTCTTAAAAATCCATTTACAACCAATGGGTTTAGCTCCCGGAGGTAAATCAACTAAAATCCAAGTTTTTTTTGTAAAATTGAATTTAATTCTACATCAATAGCTTCTTTCCAAAATGAGGCATCAGACAAAGAAATAACTTCAGAATATGTTAAAGGATCATTATCTACAAGATAAGTATAAAAATCATTACCAAAAGATTTTTCTTTCCTTGGTCTTTTGCTTCTTCTTAAATCCTCACTTTCAAAATCATTTTGAACAATTGGAACATGTGAAATATTTTCACTTGGAATAATAGGAGCATCAGAAATTTTCTCAAATTTTAAAGGAAAAATATTTTCAAAAAATTCAGCATTTTTTGTTTCAACAATAGTATTGTTTTCAAGCACATCACTTTTGACTACTAAAAATCTGTATGATGCACTGTTTTCAGCATACCCAATAAACATACAATCAGATGTTTTAGATCCTATTTTTCTTTTCTTAGGATCAAGCAACATAACTTTAGCAAGACACCCCCACACTTTCAAATATTTCAAATTAGGTGGATACCCTTTCCATAACTCATAAGGAGTTTTACCCGATTTCTTATAAGGAATTCTATTTTGTAAATGACAAGCAGATAAAATGGCTTCACCCCAAAGATTATCCGGAGCACCAGAACTAACAAGCATGCTATTCATCATTTCTTTTAATGTCCTATTTTTCCTTCCGGCTACACCATTTGATTGTGGAGAATATGGCGGAGTTATCTCGTGAATTATGCCTTCTTTCTCACAATAATCATTCAACAAAATAAATTTACCACCTCTATCGGATCTAACTCTTTTGATTTTTATCTAATTGATTTTCTACTTCAGATTTATAAATTAAAAACTTATCAAAAGCTTCATCTTTATTTCTCAACAAATAAACTTTTGTATATCTAGACAAATCGTCTATAAAAGTCACATAATATTTTTTCCCTCCTCTAGTCATAGTTTGTTTCAAGTCTCCTAAATCAGTATGAATTAAACTTAATAATTCAGATTTTCTAAATACTGAAGTACATGATTTCTTAGTTTGTTTAGCTTCTGCACAAAATTCACACTTATCAATATTCGAAAAATTAATATTTAAAATAAGACCTTCAGAATGTATTTTTTTAATATAAGATAAACTAACATGTCCTAATTTAACATGCCATAAATTAAAACAATCAATCAAGTAAGCAGAAGTACTAGCATTTCATTGATAATATTGAGTACAAACAAGCCATGGTTATAATAACCCTTGCCAACAAAATTATTTTTCTTGGTCAACACGACCTTATCAGATTCAAAAGAAACCTTCACCCCCACTTTTCCTAATAATCCCACAGAGACCAAATTGGCTCGGATACTAGGAACATGCAATACGTCATTCAATGCCAAATTTTGCCAGATGTGAGTTTGAGAAGAACTTTGCCTTTTCCAAGAACTGGAGCAGTTCTTGAGTCACCAAGATATACAACTTCTTCTCCTTCCTCAACTTGGGTGTAAGACACAAAGTCTTTTTTGTTAGCACATCTGTGCCTAGTGGCACCAGAATCTAACACCCAGTCTTTCACATTGGCCACAAGGTTCACTTGGGAAACAACCGCAACAATTATATCATCCACTTTGGCTTCAGTCAAATTTACTTTAGCCTTAGTGGGATTGTCATTCCCAACACTTTTTCGACATTGAGCAACATAGTGGCCAGGTTTGCCACACACAAAGCAGTTATTTTTTTCCTTGAAGGTTTGATTGTTGGTTTTGGGCTTATAACCATTTCTTTCATCATACCTGTTACTTGATTTTCTCTTACGGTTGTGGTCCTCCACAAGGCTGCTTCTAGTTGCAATTCCTTTTCCTTTGTCAACAACAGCGTGCTTGCGGTTAAAATTATCTCCACTAAAAACCTCAATTTTTGAAACATCCGAAAAAGGTTTGGCACTGGTAATTGGTGATGGAACAGCAACAGAAACAATTGGTACAACAGGTGTAGTAGCATCAACAGCAACATTAGCAGCGTTATTCTCCATAATAACTACGTGAAAATATCCTTAAGATTGTTGGAAAAATTGATGACTATGGAGAATAAAAGGTTTAGCTTGAGGCGTGTCAAGGACACTGTCCTTAAGGATATTTCGCCCACACCGAGATGAATAATATTAGGCGTATCCCCCAGGATTCAACAAGCTCTTCTAGTATAATTAGGAGCAGAAACAACAAAGATTTATAAGAAGAAAACCCAGCACCAAAGAAAGAAGAAGAAAAGTTTTATTATTTTCACACTACTCTTCTATGTAAAACCGAAGCAGTATATATAATGCAAAGAAAATGCACACTCTAATATGAAACTGTCCAAGCCATAAAGGCTTTTTTAAAACTTCAGAAACGTATGCTTCAAAAAAATCATTTCCAAGCCATAATGGCTTTTTAACTTACTATACGTTAAAAACAAAAAAATAACGTAAAAGATCAAGCAAGAATTCACTGACAAACAAATCATTAAGAATGCAATACCAAGAGTTAAGAAAACGGATCATTAAGAATTCAATGCCAAGAATGCAAAACGTAAAACCATTGAAAGCCGCTATCAATCGCCAAACCGTTAAAATTATATTGTTAATTGAAAATATTCTATCAGTTACAATTCTATCAAGATTATATTAAAATAATGAACTTAGACGTAATTGTAAATATTTTTTTTGAGATATTAAAATATTTTTGACTCAACATCCTAAGGTGCTATGCAAACAACCTATCCTAATGCAAGCATTAATGGTTGTTTTCACGACTCAAACGCGTGACCTATAGGTCACATTGAGATAACTTTGTCGTTGGTAACTTTACGCGAGACCTATATATATATATAGGGGTGGATTTAGGGGGACGGAAGGGTGTTCACCCGAACCCCCTTCGCCGAAAATTATACTATATATATAAGGCAAAATCTGTTTTTTTTACCTCTATATATTATGTTTTGAATCCCCTTGACACAGCCCAAAAGCATAGCTTATACCTTCTTTTTTCTCAAGCTAATATGTTATTCAATTTGTTTTTCCGCTTTCCTTTTCCTAAATTATATTCTCATTAATATGCTACCACAAGTCTAAATTAGGGAGATTTATTCAACTGAGGATATGTTAACACCATTGCTTCAACTCTGTAAAAACTACAGTTGCCTATTTGGTTAAGGCGTAGGAAAAATGGTTATAACATCATATCCTACCGCAAGTTTTCTCTGATAAGCCCTTCACTGTCATATATAAGATCGGAAAAGGGTCAAATATATCATTATACTATCAGAAAAAGTTTTAATTTATCCCTCGTTATACTTTGAGTCCAAATATACCCATGTCGTTATACTATTGATTCAAATATACCCCTTTTCCGTTAAGTTTGTCCAAAGTAGACATCCAATCCAACGTGACACTGACATTTGATGAGGTGGATGTCACATGGCTTGCCACCTTAGCGCCCTTAACCCATTTTACCTCGCTTATATTTTTTTTCCACCACTAAAATTTTCTTCCCCTCCACCACTATTGTCATCATTACCGCTACCATGAAAAATTATATAAGGATTAGGGGCGCTGAGGTGACATTGCCATGTGGCATCCACCTCATCAAATGTCTGTGCCACGTAGGATCGAAATTCCACCTTGGACAAACTTAATAGAAGAGAGGTATATCTGAACCAATAGTATTACGGCAGGGGTATATTTGGACCCAAAGTATAACGAAGGATATATTTAAACCTTTTCTCGTAGTAGAGGGGTATATATGGCTAAGTGACCAATTTGCTTTTGGCACGCCCATTAAAGAAAATGCTAAATTCTATATAAAAATACCTAGTATGACTAAACTACCCTTAATTAAATATTTAATGTGAGGAGTAAGAATTTTTTTTAGGGATATCAGATATGTATATAAGGGTAATTTTGTAAAAACAAAGAATTTTTTCTTGATTATATAAATGAACACTTATTTTGAACCAAAATAAAAAAATAAATTGGTCACGTTATTGTGGACCGGAGGGAGTACAGAAGAAGGATCGTATAGCTTGAAAACACCTACTGCAAGTTTTCTGTCATTCACCTTTTCGGGCAAGGACTAATCGATCTGTGAGATCATATATTTCTTATGAAGGATAGCAACTCTTCTCACTTAAGCAATACGATTGGCTGTTCTTCCCAGAGGCGGACCTATGTAATACAGAGAGGGGTCAGCGGTACACGTAAAGCTCGACAAAAATTCTATGTATACATATGTATGTCTTTAGAAAATAGTGATATATTAATAGCGGACACCTATATATAAAACAGATTTTTGTTGAATCCAAAAGACCTATGCTATAGAATGAGGGGTCACAGGTACATACCTGTAAAATTCGGCAAAAATTCCATGTATATACATATATATGTCTTTAGAAAATAGTGATATATTAGTAGTGCACACCCTAACTATGCTTCCACAGAGACGCAAAAGAAATCAGCATCAGCGCGCATGGGCCAACCTAACCTGAAGCAGTTCACTGACCTACAGTTTTTGAGTAAAAATGAGCAAAATATCGATTAACTGAACTAGAAAAGCAAACAGAAAACAGAAAGGATGACTACCAAAAGTATTCGTTTAAATCATCATAGATCTTCCTTTGGGAATCCTTTGCTTTTCCTCTTCTGCTCCTAGCAGCTTCCTGAAAATGACAGAAAAGGGTGTAAAATTGATTTTCCCTCACGTTCTATACAACAACAACAACAACAACAACAATCCAGTAAAATCCCATAAGTGGGGTCTGGGGAGGGTAGCGTTACCCCGATGGGGCAGAGAGACCGTTTCCGATAGACCCTCGGCTTTCCTTCAAGTTCTAAAGAAAGGTAAAAAACCACAACTTTTCGCAAGAGAGGAACAGATAGCTCTGAAATGCATGTAATACCCGTGCAATCACTTCATCAATAGGAGTAACAACTTTTCGCAAGAAAGCCTCCTCTTCCCCTCCGTAAGCTGGCTTAATATAGTCACCGGTAATGGGACTAACATTGCCAGCAAGCATGCCATAGAGCTCAAATGCCATCTACATGAGAAACTAACGCGTGAGGTCCAAATCTTTTAACGCAACAAGAAATATCTGAAGCATATTATAAAAGGTAAATAGTAAAGAAATTATAAATAATTCGCCACAGCACCTGAGAACCTAAAAAAGAATCTCTATGTTCTTCAAAACATTAACTCAGACTTCAAGAAACATTAAAAACCTATCTACTAAATTCGTAAAACACGAGCAGTTTAAAAGCTTACGTGATGGTAAATATAGCATAGGCATTCAGGCATGAATCTTAAATTTTCAGCTTCCCCCCATATGAGAAGATGTAATCCCATGTATAATAATTTACGCTGCTGTTCTTCCTGTGGTATGGTTGGCAACCTGCAAATTTTGACAATTAAGAAAAGATCAGCATATATAAATGAAAGATGAGCTTAATTTGCTAAGTCTTCGCTCTTTTCTACAGACGAACACATCTACGAGAGATGCAAAAGGAATTTACGGATACACGTTATCCTGTTCTGAAGGACAAAGCATCAAAGCTGCAGACTTTTATAATGTCTACTTCGATAGATACAATCAATAAAAAAAGATGTTAGATGAAAGTTTAAGGTATATTAGCTGTTTTTCTAAAAAGCTGAATTTACTTCAAGTGTTAATGTCTGAAGGCAGTAGGACATAACCATTTCAAAAATTTAAAGAGAAGCTCCTCACCATAAACTGCTTTTCCTGTCCAAATATTTGCACCATTTCTTGTAGTTTTTGAAAAGCTTCTTCATGGCTTCATTCAGAGCACACTCATCCAACTACACAGAACAAAACAATGAACGACGAAAAATATTATTGACTACACATTATTGTTCTTTTGAGGATTTCCATGTTATTTTGAGCATGGAATTAACTGCATTGTTAAATGTCTTGTCAATCCTTATACTAGCATTAGACCAAAGTTCAAAATTTGCTAAACATAGAGCTATGAGACTTAAAAAAATGTGAGCAAGGAGACAACTACACAGCAAAACTAGAATCAGGTGTCACAAAGAACATATGCTGCAAAATAAGTATATAAGAAGTGGAAAAACTCTTTGAGATTTAGTAAAACTTGCTATCACATTAAACAGCAACCTAGAAAAAGTTGCTCCTTGAGCTTTTGTGAGAGTGCAACTCAAAAATCTATTATGTTTTAACAGTCTCAAAGTCCTCACTGAGAGTTACTTTGCTAAACATCTAGTAGTCGCAAACTGTCAGCACGCTAGCAGATTCAAACAACGGAATCAAATTCAAGAATCCAATTAAAGATAGAAGAATGGTATTTTTTCTTGCTAAGTATGACAATCCTTTCAGCTAAAATTATATTTTAGCAGTTGAGGAAATTTTTTGATCACTCATCAATAACAGAAAGCAGTATCTTGTCCCAAACCTTTGGTTGCTGGTCAAGCTTTGGATACTGGCGTATGTGTATATTTGCAAGTAGAAAAATGAGATGCTCCCTTTGATTTGCAACATTATTTTTCTGAGAAGCAATAGACAAAAGAAACGAGCTCATTAAAGCATATATTTCCATCCTAACCGAGATAAACTTTCTAACCTCAAAAGATGTATGAAAAAGCAAGTAAAAATAACAATGTGAAAGTCAAAAAGGAAACTGCTCTACCTGAAATCCAAACATAGCTTGAAGCCAATCAAGAATATCTTCATCTTTCTTCTTCTTGTAATCCTTGGGCCATGGAAGACCACTCGTATTTTGGAGAGCGTAAGCAGCAGCTCGAATCTGTAAAGGAGGAAAAAAGAGTTGTTAAAGCAATAAGTGGAAAAGGAAAGGCAAAGGTAAAGAAATGCCTATAGCTGGAAATCCTGTTTGCGAGTACAAACCTTTGGAAATCTCATAATTGTCTGATTAACACTATCCAAAGGAAGATTATGAGCAACTTTATGATGAGCTTCCAAAATCTGAGTAATGGACGATCAATTATCCGCCACAACAAAGAAAACAATGTTATAAACAAGGAAAAGCAGTAGACTTAGGCAAGTCAAAGCTGGAGGTTGTAAAGTAAGCAGAAACAGAAGGTTTAGCAATCATTTCTCCTTGAAAATTACTTTCATTCTCACCTCAAGATCGGTTTCTACTGCTTGCGCCCGGTAAACCTCAAAGAGTACATTTTCAGTTTGGTATGCCTTAGTAAGTTGTGCACTGGAAATTTTTTAAGAAGATGAGATAAACAACTTTCAGTATAAACCAAAAGTGAGAAAGAGATCACTACGAGAAGGCACAACAAATTCTAACAAGGGTGCAAAAGACCCACCGGTATGCTTTCTCAGCAGCATTTTGCAAATCTTGAATGTACTGTTTGTAGTAATGCTGGTAAAAGCTCTGCATTTCACGTGCATCACTTTTTTTAACCCTTCCAATCAAGGTCGGATCATTTTCCTGAAAAGTAAATTTGTTACAGACTTACATGAATTACAAATGGGCACAAACATATCTCAGGTCTACAATTAGAACTGATTAATGATCACTCACAAAGCAGAAAGCAAGAAATATAGCATGCTTGATAAGCAAATATTGGACAAGGAAAGAATCCATGTTTGACCACTTACCCTTTCAAGCTGCTGTAGAAGGGATGTTTTAAATTGCCGAACACCACGTCCACTAGAAGTGGGATCTAACAGATAAGCTTTCTCAAAAGCATATAACCGACCTACAACCAGAGTAACGATGTTAGAATAGAGAACTAGAAAGGATGTTTGTATAAGATCATGTCCACGGTCAGAATTTGACAATAACTAGATGAACAAAATCAATCATAGTAAGGTCACAATTTCCAAATATACTTGACTTATTTTCCTCTTTAGTTATTCGCATTCTGGAAACCTTTACCCAAACTTCATCGTATTTCAACTAATACTTAAACGTTTTACCTAACTCCAACATCTCGTAGTAATGCTGTCAAAAGGTGGTTGCCTAAAAAAAAACAAATCTGCTAACTAAAGGCCAGAAATACCATTCTTATGGTATGATGGGTGACCCCTGCTTCAAGTACAAATCCTTAACATTAACATTCCAAAAGTGGACATATTATTTGACTACAGTAGATGCCAGCAGTTTGCAGCTAGCATTGTCTGGCTGAGAGTAAAACTAAAAAAAAATCGTAGCAAACTCACTCAAACAACATTCTGAAGGTACACATGCCCATGAAGTTGAGTCTGTGAGTTCGATTTTTTGTAATCTTTGAGTTCTTAACTTTAAAGCATTACAACTTATCCAAAGAATGACTCTTTGTTAGTTGGATCTTTAAATGGGATAAGAAAAATTCTTATCTGAGATAATATTCTTTTCCAGCAAACTTATAATAAGAAATAAAGGGAGCACTTGAGCAGCTACGTGCTTCTCTTCCAGTTATCACGTTAACAAAATGACTTAAGCTATTTATATTTACAAGTAAAGGTTCAACAATTAACTACAATGATGCTTAATCAGATAGCAACACCATAGTAAGATCCAAGCACACTTAGTTTCAGGAACTCACAAGATATGCAACACGGGGGTTGATGGGCTCAACTTCATTGGCAACACGAAGAATAGGAGCAATCTCCACCAGAGACGATGGAACCACTTCATTATCAATCATTGACTTCCCAATGTTCCCCATCGTCTGTGTCCGTGTTATACGCTGCTGCAGGGACAGCTCCGGCCCCCCTCTTGACGCCATTATAATTAACTTTCACACCCTTAACTTCACTTAAAAGGTCTGAACATAAATTCAATGCGCAATCACATTAGCATCAGGTAATAAAAAAAAGCCTAAAAAGAACACAAACAAACAACTGAAACTATATCAAGTGATTTCACAGGCATTAAGTAAAAAGTAGAACACTTAAGAAAACACAATAATGTACGGAAAACACACACAATATACACAGACAACTTATACATACAAAAGAAAAATTCTTTACTGCAAAAGAACACATCTTGCAAATCTATTTAACCTCCAAAAACACCAAAAAGAAACACATTTTTAATATCAAAACACCCAAAAATGTAAAAAAAAAAAAAAAAAAGACATCCAAAAACAGAAAAGGTGAAAATTTGCACATACAGAGCAAGATGGGCACCTAGTGTTCAGCAAAGAAGCAGAAAACACCAGGATTTAGTGAAGTAAAGAAGACTAAAGAGAGCTACATTTACCATTGTTTGTTATTCAAGATTAATGATCAAGATTTTTAAATAATAAACAAGATTACATTTTTACCAGCACATAAGCATAAAACCAACAAAAACAAAAAAGGTGAAAATTTGCAGAAAGATAGAAAAATAGAACAGTAAATAGAGAGAGAGCAGGCATCCAGTATTCAGCAAATAAGCAGATAACAGAAGGATTTAGCAAAGTTAAGCAAGTTAAAGAGCTGTATTTACCATTGTATATTAGTTCAAAAAATAAGTAAAAAAGAATAAATTTTTACCAGCACTTTAGCATAAAACAACAAAAATACAGAAAACAAATACACCCACATACAACAGGATTTAAAAAGCTAAAGAGCTTAATTTTATCATTGTTTGTTAGTTCAAAAAATGGTGATCAAGATTTTTAATAAATAAAAAAGATTACATTTTCACCAGCACATTAGCATAAAACCAACAAAATGTACAGAAAACAAACACCCCCACATTCAAACAAAGCTGAAAAATTGCATAAAGATTAACAACTTGTTTGGATGGTTGTTACGTATTGTATTGTTACTTTAAATACAATGTTTTGTTTTGACTGTTACTTAAATTTTATTATATCGTATCGTTAAATACGTCGTTACGTAACCACGAAAAGTGTCACTTTATATAACGACCGATTTGATGCGGTCGCATTGTTACCTTGTCTTTTTCTCTCATCTTGCCTTTTATTATTATTAAATAATCCTTTATCCAAACCTTTTTATATAATAATTCTACCCCGTACCATAATTTTTCTTTGTAATAATGCAAGTTTTTATTCATATTGCTGGTACGTGACATCATGAAACAACGTCAAATAATACAATTTATCCAAACATTGTATTTATCAAACGATACAATACAATATAATACGATACAATACGATACATTATAAAACGATATATAACGACCATCCAAACAAGTTGAAAGTTTTTTTCCAGCACATAAGCATAAAAACAAACAAAATGTACAGAAAACCCACATACGATAGGATTTAGAGAGCTGCATTTATCATTGTTTGTAGTGATCAAGATTTTAAAAAATAAAAAGACTAAAAAATTTATCAGCACAGCAGCAAAAAACCAACAAAATGTACAAAAAAAAACACCCACATACCAAAAAGATAAAAATTTTGCATAAAGATTCAAAAGAGAGAACAGTACATAGAAAGAGCAAGATGGGTATTTAGAGTCTAGCAAAATAAACAGATAACAAAAGGATTTAGCAAAGTAAAGAAGTGCATTTTACCTTTAATTGTTAGTTCAAGAATATATGAGGAAACGCAAAAGGTGGAAAGTTGAAGAGAATGAGCAAAACAAAAACTAGAGAGGGAGAGAGATATAGTGGGGAGGCTGAAACTTAGCAAAAGTGTAAAAAATGGTGATGAGAGAGAACCAACGTTAAAGTAAACCAAAATTTGGAGTTTATTGTGAAAAGAGAGGGAGATGGGTTAGTGGGAGCCCTTTTTGAGCTTTAGGCAGTACAAATCTAAATTAGTCGGATCAATAAATTTCGAATATTGTTATACAACAACGATAACAACAACATACCTAGTATTATACCACATTGTAGGGTCTGGAAAGGGTACTGTGTATGTAGACCTTACCCATGATAGAGAGGCTGTCATAAAATTTCAAATATTGTTATTTAAAAAAAAGCTACTTACAAGGTTTGCTCATATTTTATTTCTTGATTATGTCCTTTTTGTTATTGGAGGGTTTGTTGCATAATAATGAAAAGACGAGTACAAGCAATTATAATAATATAAGATGAGTGCAAAAGCAAGAATGATTGTAAAATATTGCTGGTCATTTTTTTAGAGGTGAAAAGGCTTTGAACATATTAAACATAGGGCAGAAAGCTTTTATTATTGGGATGTAAACGTTAGTGAAAACCCTTTTTGGCTAAAAGCTATGTTACTTAGACTCTTCAAAAATGGAGTCAGTATTCTTCGAGGATCCGGTACGGGGTGCGGCATCATTTTTGGAGAGTCCAAATAACATAGACTAAAAGCAGTATCGTGACTCATTCTCACCCCTTAAAACCCTATTGGTACTTAAAATCAAAGAACCATCTCCCCTTTAAATTTTCTTCAGATCTCCACTGGACCAATAACAACAACAACAAACCCAGGGTAATCCCATAAATAGGGTCTGGAAAGGGTAGTGTGTATGCACATTTTATCTTTACCTTATAAAGATACAGAAGTTATTTCCGACAGACACTGGGCTCAAGGTCTATTGAATCACATATACGTTAGACAATATGTGTCAATGATCTTTCTAATGCATAGTAGGGCTTTACTAGTCTAACATCTTCTCCCCAGTGGCCTGCCTGCCCTCCAAATCCACAGCAGACTTGGGGTTTAATTAGGACAATGTTAATATTCTGTAAATTAGGGGATTAATTAGGACATTGTCACTGCTCTGTAAATTACACTAAGAGGTAAGTAAAGCTAGTCAGATTCCTAGTCAGAGATACAGTTAGCTGGCTTTTAGCTGGACCAGTGATTCATGAACCACAACTTTCTTTCCTTATAACCGTAGTATCCGAACCAATTCGCGGACACCATGACTATTCTATTGAACACTTGCAATTTTCTACCAACACATGTACCGAGCCACACAGTGGCCCAAAAAAGAAAAGCTACAAAATTTGTAGCTTGTTGGAATTGAACCAACGACCTTACAAAGATTTTGAACCGTCGCTGACCACCAAGCTATGTTTTTGGGCTATGTCAAGGGATTCAAAACATAATATATAGAGGTAAAAAAATAAATTTTGCCGAATATATACAATATAATTTCTCAGCGAAGGGGTTCCGCCCTCCTAAATCCGCCGTGGAGCCACGCCATAACATAAAGTCATAAACTTTAAGAATAAACGATAATCACACAAAGTCATGAACTTTTAAATATCGAATTAACAAATTCATGCATTCGAGCCACAAATTCATGCAAGATGTTGCGAGCAGTAACAAGAAGTCATAAGCTTTTAAGAATAAATTATACTAATTACATAATGAAATTAGAACACCAAAGAGACTTACTTAATTCAAACAGCGCCATGTTGTTGATTGCCAATATACTTCTTCCAGAGATTGAATAACCTACGACACTTGTGTAAAGGCCAGAGCTTTCAGTCTCAAACAGGGGCGGCCGTATATATTTTGTCGCCTAAAACCAAATATTAATATGAGGCCTTTTTTCAATAATTTCTATCTTAATTTAATAAATTTTTAAAGAAAAAAAAAAGAAGATTTAACCCAATCAGCTACCCATTTAATCTCTTAAACTAAAAATAGCCGATGGACTTTTAGTGGTAATTAGCTATCTATAGATACCATTTGCTATATTACTGATTGTGGATACGTTTTCTGTTGTTATAAGATGTATTAGATGTATTTAAGTGCAGTAGCAAAAATAGGCGTGAATCAGGGAAGTCCAGGTAATCAGTTGTTGTATTCGAGTGTATTCGACTGTATTCATTACGTGAAACATGAGATTACAGCTGGACAGATTATTGTATTTGACTGTATTCACGGCGTGAAACAGGGGATTATACTATTTTTAAACGGAAAGTGAATCAATTAACATAATAGACTCCTAATATTACTCAACAAACTCACTTATAACACACAAATTTTGTATTTTCAGTTATAAAAAAGATTCCCAACCGAAAAATACCCCAAAAACATAGTAATCTTCAGAGAAATTATATAATACATCTGAATACATAAATTATATTAATTTAAAAAAACATATGAATACATTCATGTCATATAGCGAAACAGTGAATACAATGAAATACATAGAATACAGCGGGATACATTGAAATACAATAAAAAAAAAGACAGTGAATACAATGAAATACATGGAATACAACGAGATACATTGAATTACAATGAAAAAAAAAACAATGAATACAATGAAATACATGAAAATACATTGAAATATATTAACAGAAAATTAAGTTGCTCAGCCCCAAACTCCGTCATCATTGTTCAAGAAAACACCCTAATCTCTGGCGAATCCGTCGTTCCGTTCACCGCCGTGAACCACATCAGAATAGCGGCCAACAAAACCATCATTAAAAGGAAAAACATTCTATGTGTGCGCCGACAAATCATCCAGGTTCATTCCGTTGTAACCTTCGCAAGAATTCAAATCAGACAAAATATGCCCATATAAATATGACGACGACGACGAAGACGAGTCATCAGCACTTGAATTTGAATATTATGCGGCGGTCGGCGATGGTGAATTAGCTGGTTCGGATTGGAGCAGTTGAAGATGGCGAATTGATAAAGAGGAAACTTACTGCTTTCATTATTGAATAGCGTATCAAAGTAGAAAGAGAAAGAAAATAGTGTAACTGAATAGCGTATTTAGTGGCTTAGGGGTAGGAGGTAACCATAATTAGATATTTTGCCATAAACATTAAAAGGTATCTATAGAATATAATTTTTTTTAAATGGTATTTATTTAAAATAAATAAGGTGTT